TTAATTTTCTTTGGGTATTGTATAATTATGGACAGAAATTTCCTGGAATGGGAGTTTTGTAAGCAGGGTTTTGAATGCCGTATAGGTTTATAAAATTACAGTCTAGGAGTACCTAATATTATTCTGTCCTTAAAGATTCCTGTCATTAAACAAAATAGCTCTAAGGAATCATGGAACAACTTTCCTTCAAGTTCCTTAAAAAGAACCCCAAAGCACCAGTTTGGTATTCAAGTCACATATTTAAATTTCATCTTGCAAACATTTGAGGATATCTTTGTGTGGTATTGCATGCATTCCATCTGATTCTTTATGAAGTTTTAGAGGTCTAGAATAAGATTTTTTAAACTTTTTAAAGCTATTTTAGTTGATGCGTAATAACCTGAAAATATACTTCTCTCATTATGCAACTCCATACCCAAATAGCTTATGTGTTTCATTTCAAAATATGTATAATAAAAGAAGAAATTATTACACAGAATTAATCTCAAGTTTTAAGCTGTCACCTGTCAAACTGTGTAAGGGTATTAAGCATTTATTAATAAATTTGTAATCCTATATAATATATAAGTAAATTGTTGTTTCATGTTATGAAATACATAGATTTAAATAATCTTGTTTAGGAAATGATCCAGAAAAAAAATATATTTGCAGTTATTGGCTAAAAGGCAAGGTGAGAAAAAGCAGTTGTTGCTGTATTTGCCCTGGTTCTGTGTCACCAGTTAAATTATAAAGAGGCAGCTCTTTAGTAGCAGTTCATCTGTTTTCACTTAGCTAACAGCTGAGTGAAACATTTCTAACAGCTATGATACAATATGGTATTTCTAAATGTGAGTGTTTTGTGTAAAGGAAAAGATTCTACCTGTATATAAAGAAAGAATATAAGCAGCTTTTGAGGAATAATGGTTTTATAGCTTGTTAATTGTAGCTATACAATTAGAAGAAGGCTTTTTAAAGAAGATTCTTTGATTTGGATGAGAATTCAAAGACTTGGAATATAAAATCAAAATTGTTCTCCAGGTATCAGGTATCAATTTGCTATTCAAAAGAATGAAGTCCTCAGGTTTTCTAAGATTGTTAGCTGGTGTTAAAGTGATTCCACACATACCTTCCAGAGTGTAAATTATGTAATACGACAGCCAAAACATCGGTAAAGTCCACTTGTGCAAAAGTGTAACAAAATACCATGCATGTTGTTGTTAAGTGTGACTGCTGCAAGGTAGCATTCCTTGTGAACACCCTGTCCATGCCCTTTGCCATCCCAGCTGTTTGGTGCTGCAGCCTAACGTTCTCTTTTTCCAACAGACGCTTCCCACTTTAGGAGGTTTGCTCCCTGAGGTGCGTAGCGGGAGGCATCCGTGAACGCTCGAGTATTAACAGTTCATGATATTGTACATTCTTTCTGCTATGAAGTGCATTTTGGGGCTGAAAAACAAGTCCAGAGATGATATTCTGGGTTATTATTTGGAAACTTCTGTCTTATTTGTCAATTATTCTCTGATTTGGAATATGGAATAGATGCAATTGAGTAGTTCTCACCTGGCAGGTGAGAACCTGCTCACCTGGAGCAATTCTGAATGGTAGATGCTCCAGCTAATGAATATTGACTTCATAGTGGGACTTCAAGGGGGAAAATAAGGCATGAGAAGTGCAAAAAGGGGTGGAAAAATTGTTGTGGTAAGTACTGTTTTGGATGATATGTGCGCTGGCACATGCCTTCCAAAAAGCTCCATTATTTAAGCCATCAAAATGTACAATTGCTGTATTCAGTATCTCTGTCAAGCTCATGCATGTTCACTAAACAAAATGGTTCACAGATACGTTGATCATTTTGTATGCTTTATTTAGCAAGATATTAAAAATAGCACAACTGTTACAGAAATATTTCTTAAATTGAGAGATAAATTTTTGCATTTTATAAAACCATTTTTTCAATGCATGTCAAATTTTTCTTAGCATTATTAGAATTTTTAGGCTGTTATTTATTCTTATCTTCTGTTTTTATCTACTTTAAAAATTAAATTGTTTGCTTCTTGACACTCTCTGATATCTTAGTAATGTTTTAAGTTCCCAAAACAAAGATACTTTAGGTCAGGCACAACTGGTATTTCATATATAAAAGTAAAAGTCTGCACAAGAATATTAAAAAAAATAATGAAGTGGTAAATCTTTCTGTGTTCCATTAACAGAGTTATTCATTAGCATTATTATGCAATTGATCACGTCATACAAACTAAATAAAATTCTCAGTAGTGGGACACATACCTAAAAATTATAGGATATATAACTCTAGGAAATCTAGAATCTCTTGTGAGCTTCTTCAGAAAGGTTTTAGAGAGCACTGTTGATAGACACAGTGACATGTATTGTGGTATCATATAAGATGGGTGATATGAAATACTTTATTTGTACTTTCTTCAAAAATCATCAATGAAGGAGGCAGAGTTTCAATGTTAATGAGGTCAGGTATCTATCTTTGATCATATCATTAACACTCTAGACACTTCTGTATCGTGAGTACTCTTTTTTCCTTTATGTTACCTGAGATACATGACCTTATCTGATATTGTCTTTGTGAATCAAGCCATGGTTTTACTTATGGGATAGGAAATATAAACTGGAGAAGGAATGGTAATGCAGCAATCATAGGACTGAGGCCAACTGAGGTTATTTACTGCTGTTGGTATCATGCTGCTATTTGTATCACCCCAATATCCAAAACTTTGCTCTGCGTAATCGTTACTGCATTTTACTTGAGTCATTAGTAACAGTAGGTTTGAGCATGAGTCGCAGCAGTGTATAAATACTTTTCCTCTAAATATTAGCATGATATATGCAAGAAGATTTTTAGTGCCACACTTATAAGTAGGCCTCTTTTGAACATTTTTTTAACCTCTCTAAATGTGCAAACTCAGTGTGCTGAGTCCGTTACTTTTGGTTAATTTTTTTTTTATTTGTCACAAATGTGCCCTTTAGCTTGAGATTTTCCTAGACCTTTTCAGATTTTCTCTGTGTCTCTGATTTTTGTTGGAAATCACTATTTTTACTAGCTTTTTCTCTGCTTTACTGACATCTGATTTGTTTTTTGAAGATGTTGCAGTATTAATAAGTCAGATTTTGGCCACAGTGTAAAATCCTTTTTTAACAGGGTATGCTTTCTTTTTATAAAAGGCAGTGACTTTTAAAGATAATTATTCTTAAGGTTGTTTAAAACCTCAAGGCAGCTTTCGAAATTTGTAATGGAGTGTGAAGCTTCCTTCGTACAAAAGTATCTTACTTGCTGTCCTTGGGACTAACCAATTCATTGTGCAAAATGTTTTGTGTGTTAATTAAAAAATGTTAGTCTCTTTGAGTGCCTCATCCTGGTTCTACTTTCTGAAAAAAATCATCAAATAAGTCAGTGCAGAGCTGGTGATGTCTTAGGCAGTGATAAAAACAGTGTTTTTGTTTCTAAGGTTAAGGATGAGGTGAATAGCTCTAATTGCTTCTACTGTTTTCTCTTTAAAGTAGTGATACTGCCGTCTGGAGTCTTGGATCTCGTCTTGCACCAACCAAGTTACTCAAAGCATCCAAGCACTCTGTTAGCTAACCTGTTAGGAATCTCACTGCATACAGACGATTGTGTAGATTGCCCTGGTTTTGTTTTGTTTGGTTGATTGGTTGTTTTTTTTTTCTCAGTGGCATAGGTTTTTCCATTCTTTCTTACAAAATGTGTATAAAAGATGTCACAGTTCCCCCAAGCATTTGACTACTCTAAAATAGCTTAGGATGACCTGGACCACTCTTTGCATCAGATCTGGTCTGAGACTCTGTCAGTCTCACTTAAAGAAACTGAAGATGATATAAAAACAGTCTCCACATTTGTGTGAGAAGGCACTGTATTAGGCTGGGAGTTATTCCCTTCCTGACAGAATCTGTGTCAGTTCTTCTTAGCAGTAAAAACTGCTCCTGAAAGAGTTTCATGGATTAATTGCTACTATGATCCCTAAGGCTTTATGGGAGGTTGCACAGAGATGGGTTTGGCCCGGTATGAAATGTACATGGTAACATTTAATGAACTTGTTACTGGATGGAGTTGCAGGGGGTGCAACAATGTCCTTCATGCTCCTTTTCTAGTGCAGCAGCTTTGTGCCAGCCCGTTCCCATGACTGGTTTAAAGCCTCCTGGTACTTGTGAAGTGAGGAAAGCGGCTGGGGTGCAGTTGGGATTGGAGACACTGATTCTGTTTGATAAATATCTGCTGTCTTAATTTATGGTGCATTTTTTGGACAACCTAAATGGACATGCTGGGTGCAGTTTATAAATAGAATAAATGAGATACAAAAAATGAGAATACTTTTTTTCCATGCAGAGTTATCTGAAATGGCCTGATAACAGTTGAAAATACGATTGCAGCAATATAATACTGAGTTTTTCTCTTTCAAATAACCTTCTCACTGTGCTGTGCATCAGCATCAAAAGTTGCCAGTGGCTTAGAATCTGATGTAGAGTCTGGTTTCCTTTTGATACAAAATATGTTTTATAAAAAGATACTCAGCTAATTGATTATGGTTTGTTTAGACTGAGTATATTTTGCCAAAGTGGTAAAGCACTCTGAAGCATCCAACCTTTGTAGCAATCAGGATAAAATATTGAAAAATTATTGATCTCTTATCAATATGCTTATTAAACAATCAAGTCTATTGTATGATTGTCTTTCAAGTTTCAGAATGGCACCCTGGTAATATCAGATTATCTTTTCCCATCACTGCATTAATTTGTGTTGTGACTGCACACTTTTCATCCATCTATTGCCTAGTCATTATGGAATGTCCAGGCACATAGATAGATGTTATGTGAAGTGGCCAGACATTGTGTATTAACTTGATTGAGATCTCATTTTCATTAAAGTGGAGTCTGACATTACTTGCTAGTAGAAAAAACAATTTTATGGAGGTACAGTCTCAGTTACAGCTGTATAGCATTATATAATGTGTTAAAATGTTCCCTTTTCTCTTTTCAAGGAAAGACAAGCAACAGTGAAAAAAGAAAAGAGCTGCCCCCAGCAAATGAACAAACTGGGAGAAAGGAACAAAATGCAAAGAGCAAATTCTGTCACCGTAGATGGACAAGGCCTTCAGGTGTGATTATTGTTATTTTAATATTAAGCAGATAATTTTAGGTATGAAGAGTGAAATATTCTTAAAGGGAAATATACATTCACTCTTCTAATATTTCACTTTTACATGATTGAAAAGTCAATAGGTAAATTCTTCCATCGGTTCAGGAATCCTGTGATACATATCTGCTTCTCATGGGATTGTTAGGATTTCCTAGGACAATAAGGGGGAGGGAAGACTAGCTCTGAAACACTTCTGTCATGGGGTGAATAGTTTATTTTGGTATCTGTTTACACATCACGCAATGTTGTGTAAATTTACATTATTCATTTAAATCTGTCCTGATAATTGTTAACTGTTCTCATTTGGACCTGTTAATGGATGGAGTAAACGTCAAGGGTGTTATTTGTCCAGGTTTTTTTAAGTAGGGTATTTGGCATATCAACATTAACAGTGGTGAGAAGCAACGTGTTTTCATGACTAGCAATATCTATAATAAAAATGGAAGTTTTTCTGCTTGAAAGAAAAACTCCTGTGTGTAATTAGGTAGTGTTATTTAAGGGTGGTGACTTAGAGGCATGCCTGAACTGCTGATGGTTTCCCTTGAGATATGAGTAGTTTTGAGTGAAATCAATGTCCATATGCAGGAAGCTGCTGCTTTATGTCCTCAGGAGTTAAATTATCATCATGATAAAAATGTGATAATCATTTAATATGCATAGTTGTCTGTTCACTCTATCTTTTGATATGTTGCAGTTGGGCTTCAGTAAAAAGATTCCATTACCATTTATCAATTACTTTATGCCTCATAATTATTTCATCTTGTTGTGTCAGGATAGGAAGGTTTATTGTATTGTTTTGTGTTTTAGGTTAGTCAAACATTCTTGTTATGACAACCCAAAGAAGGGAAAAAAAAATCCAAACAAAACCTGAAAAATTAACCCTAAAACCTATCCAGTTACTTGGATGCTCCATTGATGGTATAGTTGGATATTAGAGCAATCATTATCCATTGCTTTCAATAATCTCTTCCTGTACTTACCATTTTCACAGGCTTCGTTGCTATCCAGATCATCTGTGACAAAATATGAAGCAAAAGATGCTAGAGCCTTAATTGAAAGAAAGCTCAGTGAAGCTTTCTTTTTCTGTCACAGTGTGATTATTAAGTTTGTGCTAAAGGAAACACATGGTATTTTCTAACTTTCGTGTGATATCCATGCAATTCCAGTGAGACAAAGTATTTTAGAGGAGCATCGTTGGCATCTCCTTTTGGTTGCAGCACCATTTATCATTACAAATTTTGTGTCTAAGCATTAGATTACTTATAGTTTATTTTCTGCTATTTTTTGTCTCTATTTCCCACTCATGTGATACTGTGCCTAGGATATAATACTTGGTCTACTCAAAACAGCAGCTTTTAGCACCATTGATTCTTCAACAAAAAATGTTTAAATTACTATATGTTCTACTTTCAGGTCATAAGATTTCCCCTAAGTTTTTTAGTGTGTTCCAAAACTTGTGTTTTGTCTTGTCTTTCCAAGATGAATCAAAAGCCTGCCTTTCATCCTTGCTTTTCTTTATTACTGCTAGAGATGGAGAAAAAGAGAGTGGGGACAAAGATGGTAGAATTATTATTGAATAGATTTGAGGTGTTTTTTGAAGTGCTTGGTGTTCTGTAATGACACATTTCTAATGTAGTGTATGACATGGTACCATGATGATAACGTCAGAAATAATTCTGCAGTATGGCCTTAATTTGCTGATTATACTGTGGTCTTTATTTCTCACAGATGGATTTAGTTGGTTTTGAGTGGCAGGAATCCATCTTAGCATCAAATATTTAATTTTTGATTGGCATTAAAAATGATAACTTCTTGTGAATGTAATTATTGTGAAGGCTGAGTGGACCTGGAAGGCTATCCTACTGAAAAGATGGGTCAATGAGATTGTTAGGGCTTTTTTCCCTTACAGATTGTGTAATTTTTCAGTTCTTCTCACAAATATGTAAGATGCTATAAATATAACTGGCAATTAATGTTAGTATTTTGCCCAAAGATGGTCTGGAGAAAACATTCTGTATCTGATCAAAGTATGCTACTCTAATTCTCCCATATCTGGCATGCTACTCTGTTTCTTCTACTCTGATTCTGCTGGCATGGTCTCATTTTAACAAAATCTTCAGTGAGCAAGGGTTTTATTTCAGAAAGCTTAATCAGTATTAATTATTAATTGCATTTGTTTATGATTAAAGATGCAAGGTAAAAAAGCAAAGATCTTGATACTACTGCTGTTAGACCTCTGTTTTCAATGTGGGAAAAAATATATATAAGTGCTCCACCACTTTTTTCTTTTTGTTTTTACTTTTTACTTTAAGTTACTTGTCCTGTAACATCGTGAAGATTGCCTTTAAATCGTGCTAGATTAGGGCTTGAAAATGGTCACTAATTTAGTCTAAATCTTTAGTTGCATTTCATTATATAAAAATACCGTATGTTATCTGGAGAAGTAATTTGGAAAAGCTGTAAAAATTTAATTAAAATTTATTTTGGAACCGTGTGGCATACAGACTAGTTATTAGATTTTTTTTTTTTTGATGAGCCAAACCCATAAGGTTTGAAATAATCTCATTGCGTCTTGAAAGGAAAGATTTGAAATAGAAAATTCCATCACTTAGCTTTTGTTGAGAAAAAGATCAAGCCCAAACCTTCCTTCCATCAGACAGAGTGAGCAGATAACTTAGTGGCAGTGGAGGTCTGCACAACTTAAAGACAATTAATCATAGTTAAGCACATTCATCTTGCTTCTTTCTAGCTAACCAGCATAATGATCAGGATTATTATTTCTAATTAGAGGAAGTAATAGATCATGTATAACCTTAGGATGAGTCTCATTAATTAACCTGCGTCCTAAGGGATTTCAGTAGGTATTCCATCTCTGTCACAATGAGCACCATTGGTTTACACTTAGTTCATTGGAATAAACACCATGGGAATTGGCTAAATAACTAAAATTGATTAAAACAGTGGGTAAAAATTAAATATATGACAAACTTCACTGTATTCTGCAATTTGATGTATGTTTCAACACACAGCAGTTTACTATGCCAGATGATACTGAGTTGGTTTCATGCTAAGCTTAATACCACTGAATCTGTGGACTTTCCCATTAATTTTTGTATGTATTGGAACAGATTTGATTCTGGGGTTTTTTTTTGTGAAATCATGAATAGAGTTGACACACTAGTGCTTAACCTTTCTTGCTAAAAGAAAAGTGCTTTTAGATGCCTCGTAGGATTATATGCCTATATCTCTAGTATGCCTGTAAAACTCCTGAGGTATGATGTTTCTTTGGTTCTGCCTTAAATTACATTTTATGAAATCTTCAAATTTTGTTATTTCAGGAATTATGAATATGGACTTTGAGCAAGGCCTTTCATTGCGTCATTTTGAAATGCAGATGATCCAAGCTTCATCTCTGAAGCTGTTAGTGTATGACTTTGGAGATGTTGACTTTGGACTCTAACTATACTTTCTAACATTTTGGAATTTATATAAGTCTAAAAGTGATGCTTCAAGATATGAATAGTCTAGCTTCATGGTTTAAAGACCTGTATTAGAGATCATCTCATGTATTTTTTTTTATGTTTTAGTCTTTGGAGTAAAGGCAATGAACACACACATCTCAGAGTATCTGAAAATACAGACTAACCCTATTACTTAGAATGATGGTGTTTGTAAAGCTAAATATTAATATGAATGTGAGAAACTTTCCATACACAAAAGAATGTAAAAAAAAATGATGCTAGAAGTCATTGTTTCCTTCCTTCTTATCAGCATTCTTTTCCTAAGACTTGCCTTACTACCTTATGGTTACTCCTCTACCTTCTTAATTTTTTCAGCTTTCTCAGGTGTTTAAAGAAATTCCTTAATGTTATGGTTGCCACATTTTAAAAAGTGTGTGATTTCATATTATATCAAATACTGCAGGTATTCATTGCCATAATGAAAAAAAAAATCTGTTAACTTCAATGTTCCATTATAGCTATAGTTGACCTTCGTAGTATATGCTAGTATATAATACATACTATGTCATTTTTCACTCCAAAATACAGTTTAAGCTTTTTTCTTTTCCTTTTTTTAAAGGAAATTACTGTCAGAGTAATTAATGCATTATTTGCATTTAAATCTTTCTTCTCTACTGATGGATATGTGTGTGTATATATATATATAGATAGATATATATATATACACATGCAAATATATATCTATATATAGAGAGATATGTATGTGAATACCTCAATATTTCAGTAGCATTATTGGTGAAAATAGCAACACAGCAGTTAAACAGACAGTGTTGAAAGAGAAGTCACAATTTCTGGCAAATTAATGAAGTGAGGATTATTGCAAATTATGGTATTGCTTCCAGCTGGATTACATAGCATAACATAGAGTTTGCATTAAGCTTTTTGTTTTCTGTCTACTATAGGAAAAAATGAATGCAACACACAGCATTAATGAGTGGCTGTGTTATTCCCTTCTTTTAGATCACTCCAGTTCCAGGCACTCATCCACTTTTAGTTTTTGTCAATCCTAAAAGTGGTGGGAAACAAGGAGAAAGGTAAGGGTTTTTTTTTTCTTTTTTTTTTTCCCCTCTCTTTCTTGTTTCTGGTCTGTGAAATGCTTAAAAATGAATTTTACAAGTCTGTATATGTGGAAAAAATCCAACATTTTATATTGTTATTCCTCACAGTTGAACATCCTATATCTCTGTACCTATAAATTCTCCAGTTAAAAATGAGAGTTAGTTCTATAGAATAGTTGTTTCAAATAATAAAAAAAAGTAGCTATATTCAGTACATGGGTTTGTGAGATGTGCATGAAGATGTGAGTTGCCATATCTTGTATTAAAACTTTAAAGTGCTAACAGTTTTCTTTTAATCTTTGTAATGATTATACAGGCAGGTCAGTAGTTTAAATTAGAAGCAGTATTCCATTTTTTAATGTATGATTTGCTTTTTATAGACTTAGTAGTAGAGGCTCTCAAGCCTCTTCATAAGATTTCCTTCAAAGAAACCTTTTGATTTCTGTAAATAGGAAGCATTCAAAAAATCCAATTGAATTATTAGAGTCAAATCACACAAAGACATATTAATTTTACATATGTCAGCAATTACATTTATTTAAATAGAAAATGTCTGAGTTTATTAGTTTAAGTATTAATGTATCAGAGGCTTGATAAAGTAGTAAGGAGCATTGTCCTCCTACTCAGGCAGGAATGCTGAATTAGTTGCCTCCTAAACAGACTTTTCAGAGCATGTTTCAGGATTTCACATGCGTACAGTGTGGCCATTTTTGATCATCCCATAAATCGCTAAATTTTTATAGCCTAATTCACCATGTCAGTGCTGTAACTTCAAGTCCTGAAAAAGATTATGGTCTTTTGGCCAGGGTCCAGCTGAAGGTGACACCTGTGGATACTGGTGATATGGGTAACGAGAAGCAAAAAAGGAGGGATGCAGTGTGATTCTAAAGCCTGGAAACAAGCAAGTAAACTACAGTGGGTCAGCTTTCCCTACCTTCTCTATCCTGTCTCCCTTAGATCACATCTTCCTGTGCCCCTAAAAGTAAACTGTCAAAGGGAACAAAATCCTACAGAGTAGTTGTTAGGGTAATTCTTAAAGCTAAGGAGCATGAACCAAAACTGTGTGTGAAGGCCTCTGAGAGAACTGGCTATCACTTGAGAGCTGATTATGTAATCCCTGGACTGGTATATCTAGATATCAGCTAGGTGTGTCAAAGGCAATTAATGTTCTGAAGGATTAGTTCTAAGGAGTTTCAAGAATATGCCTTTGCAACTGGAGCAAACCAGTGTGAGCTATCCTGAGTTTCTTTGTTTCAGCCGCAGTAGCAGTGTGGGGCAGCCCTGGTCTGCTGTGCAGTCTGGGGTCTGGTGGAAGGTAATCTGCACTAGCACTCAGCTGGACTTTTTATAGTACCAATATGAAGTGAGTAGATCAGCGATCCAGTCTGCAATTACGTAGGTGAGAGGCAGGTTAGAGAGCTGCACTTACACAGTTAGTTATAGCCTAGAAAAAATTTAATGAAATGCTGTTTCACAGCTTTCAGTTCCCAGCTCATAATTGGTCTCAAGTGTTACTATTTGAATGGGCTTAATGCAGCAGGGGTGTCATTTGATGTTAGATATTCTCCAGGGTAAAATCAAGTTTAAAATCTGATCCCCATCTCAAGCTCCTATTCCCCTTCATGTATTGCAGTCTAACACTTCTCAGTTTATGTCAGTGAAACTGTTACTGAGGCCAAACAGATCACAGGAATTACTTAGATTTTAAAAATGGATGCCCTATACACACTTCATTCACTAGCATCATTATCCACAAGTGTCATTACACAATTAAGTGTATAGTATGAGGACAAGCACCAGCAGCTGAGTATAGTGAATTGTAAGAGCCTCTTAAATTGGCTTTGATACCACATGTACACAAAATGTTAAATTACATACTAATGTGTCAAGGTCACACTCAGTATATCTAAGGGAAGCACATCAAAAGGTCAACTGCATAGTCGTGTAAACATATCTCAGGTCATTCATCATTAGGACATAATATCTCACAGCTAGATCTAAATCCAGATTCAAAAAGGTTGAAGAAAGTCCACATATGGACTATTTGTGGAAAAGGGGTTTGCAGTCCATTTTTGAGGTGTCAATGTTTCATATCAATGCCAGGAGCAGAAATGTAAAATAAGGATGCTAAGAGATCATATTAGTTTGAATATTCAATCTAAACATTCTCAGGAGAAATATTATTGAACTGTTCTCATTTTCCTGGGTTTTATCTGTCTGCTTTACAGTCAGTAACCAGGAAGAAATTCCCATATATTCCCTGCCCTCCAATTTTGTGGCAGTTATATGTTGTGGAGAGTAAAATCACAGGACATTTCAAGACATAAATTACTTTGCAAAATTTGCACAGTTATGGTGATTCACAGATTTCTTCACAGTTGGAAGGGACCCACAAGGATCATCGAGTCCAAAGTAAATGGCATTCAAGTCAGGATTTTTGATTATTGCAATTTTTTAATCTGGTCAAGTGCTGAGAGAGTGGGACTAGAGGATACACTGTAACAAAAGTAAGATTTTTTTTTCTTTTTTCCCCAGCAGTGAGGGGGGAAAAAAAAACAAAGCAAAACAAACCCACAACCTTCTAATTTTTGTGGAACAGAATTTCATTATCTTGATTCATTCAGATTCACAAAATCTTCTACTGAAAACTATGCCTCAGGATTCTCTGTATTTGAGAGATCACATGAATGAAGACAAGATTTCTAATTGACTTTTCATTGAACATAGAAAGGTTAGTGCAGATTGTCAAGACTCCCACGTTCCCTCAGTTCCCCATACAAGATTTTATGGCTTTAACATATGGTAACCCAGCCCATTTTATCGCCTTATTCTTGGAGAGAGTTTATGCATCCAACTGAAAACCAGTTGAATAAATGCAAACCCCCAGTAATACATGGTTGTTTCCTCTTTTTTTTTTTTTGTATTTTTTTTCAAATCTCTGATATGCCAAAGAAAAGAACTCTGAGGATCACTTAAAGATGAAAGAAGTTTGGTTGTTTAGTTTTAGTTTTTAAATGTTCAAACAGAGGGGTGGAGGGAAACAAATGGATATGCAGAAAAAGTGCATTCAGAACACACAAGTGTGTTCTCTACAAACGTATCTTATCTATACATTTTGAAACTTTTATGTTGGAAATTCAGTTTTTCAGAATGTGTAGTGATAAATGTGTTCTTTCTGAACAGGTTTCTGTTTTAAGGACCAGTGCTATGACTTTCAGATGTAATTGCGAAATAAAGAATTATGACAATAGCCCCATTATATTTTCTTCTCAATTAGGAGGTTAATAATGGCCCATCATGTGACACTCCAGTGTATTTGCAGTTATTTGGACTTGAATTATTTTTTTAATAGACAATACATATGTTTATAATAGAATAAAAACATAAGTCAATGTTTATTAAGGAGAAAGTAGAAAAATAGAATTAAAGTTTATTAATTTAAGGTTTCCATGTACTAGAAATGGATTTAAACTGAGCATGAGACTGAATAGGAGTTCATCAAACCCAGGCAAGTGAATTCCTCAGGCTATATCACACCACAACATATTTTCAGGTTTTGCATGAAATGGGCAGGTGGAGTTAATTTAATCAAAAAAAAAAAAAAGAATGCAGAACATCCATTTCATTCTGGAGCTGTCGGTTTGGGATGTCTGTATTTATGATCTGACTAATCAGGGCAACAGTTTTCAATAATCTGTGTGTAAAATGTATATATATAGTACGCCATTCACAAAATAGTTTCTTTCAACAGAAAGAATATACAACAAGCATTTAGTGCTTCTAAATGCTGGTGTTAAGGGTAATGTTTCTCACAAAAGAGTCCTTCTAAATCATGATGTTGTTTTGCCATACTCATTACTTTGATTTCCACTTCCCCATTTTCCAGTTTATTTGCCTGACCAGAGGGTGAGTTTACACAATTGTTTCCTTGACAAATGTGCTGTTGGATGCACTGGAGATCAGCTTCCGTACACTCACGTTTCCTGCTGACTCCACGTTCAGTGTCTGTGCAGTACAGGTTGATGATATTTTTAACCTTTGCTGTTTTCAAATAACTTGGGTTCATAGTAGCTCTTCCCTCCTCCCCTCGGACTAATCTGCTTTTCTGAGCTTTCAATTAGCATTGAGACAAAATGTAAAAGCAGTTTCAAATGTTCTTTTTCAGATAATGTATGTCTGGAAGAGACGTTAACTAGCATTTTTTTTATTTTGGAGAGGAGTCCTTGGCTTCTTCCTTGTCTGACATGAGGGTTAAATTAAGCCCATATTAACCATGTCTTTAATAGCCCCTAGAGGACTGAAGATGCATCCCCAGTTATGGTAGAAGGCATTGCCATGGCCAGCTTTTTTTCCACAGTATAGTCAACTTCATTGCCAGTTTTGAATTGCCAGCTAGTTTCTGGCCATTTATTTTCTCTCTTACCCAGAGGACAGCTTAATCTAACTCAGCTCAAGGTGCACTCAAAAGTATTTTCTTCAGCAGCTGAGCTGTTTAAACTTGATGCCAGCTCCTTTGGCCACTCCTGAGATAATTTCCTGCCTCCTCAGTTATTGTAACAGGTATTTTGAGGTTTATATGTCATCATGGGCATTATTTAAATAAAAATAAATATTACAATGAAGAAACTTCTCTGTGGATTTCTGTTTTAAATTGAATCTTTTTAGTTTCCAGATCACAGAATAACCCCAGAAGTAGTTACAGAAGCACAGCTGTTTGTTGACAAGTGGTAATTCCATAAACTGACGTAGTTCCTGAAATTGCATTTCACCACAGAAATGTCTTTTGGGGCATTTCCCACCACACCACCTCATGGCCTTGTCAGCACAAATCTCCAGTCACAAGGAAACCACATCCAGTGCCTTCCCCACATGTGGAAGCAAGGCATTCAGAGCCAAGTCAGTGTCACTGTTTGGTACTGTAGATGTAAAACTGTAGGGTTGAGTTACTGTCCCTTTTCTTTGGCTTCCCCATGTCACCCTGTTAGGTCTGTGTACAGCTTAGTGTGAGGAAAACGTTTATAAACAGTTTCTAACTTTTTTTTTTTTTTGAGAACGTATGAATATAAATGAGCCATCAATTTATGAATTTTACACAGACTAGAATACATAAATGTGTTTAATAACTTAAAGCTTGATGTGTCATTTGCAGTGAGTCATTATGGAGTGATTAGCAGGTACTGATGCTCAACTGGTAGCCATGAATGGCATGCACTGAGTCAAGTACAATTCAGTGTAATCTCTTCATTATTGCAGTCGGACTTCTGGGTTCTAAGTAGAAAAACCTAGCCTCCTCTTTATTAAGAAGGCTTTTATAGCATTTCACTCAGACCTGAAAACAGTACTGTGAGTGTAGGTAACGGCTAGTATGTTTTGTAGCACCAAACTTTAGGAAAATAGCTCTTAGACCTTTGGGACTTCATAAAAATACTGTTCATGAACTTCTTATGGCCAGCTACACAAATGAAATTAGCATCACCTTTGACCAGATTAAATTCTACACATCTCTGAGAAGCGAATCACACATACTAGCTAGAAAACTCCTTTTACATTTGTGAAATGGGAATATGTACAGTGTGTTGTAAATCCATTGTCAAATGTCTAATTTAATCATTGTCACAGCCATCAACAATGATGTATGCATATCTGTGAAATGAAAGTAGTCTTTTCATACTGACGTTTTCTGTCAGGAATAGCATCAGGAATATATTGTGTGAGTGTGCTTGAATGAAATGCTTGATGAAGCTGATATCACTAAATAATTGAGAAGTTAAGAAAATATTCCAATTGGGCAGTTTTACAGATAATTATGAATTTGTTTGTATTCAGTACTTTTTACACACTTGCTCTCCAGCTATGTTGATAAATTATGCATTTCTATTATGAAAAAAATATGAAAAAAAACCCTGAATGTGCACATAGATTGTGTCTAGACAGTTTTATTGTGCTGTGTTTGAAAACATAGACATTTTAACCTAGAATTCAGGTCTTATTATGCTTCTATCTTATTTAAGAGATTATAAAGAAAAAAGCAATATTTCAATGAAAAAATAAATGCTTTTTTAAAAACATTAAAATATTGATTAGCTTAAGGACAGAAACACTAAAATTAAAACAAATAAACAGGGGGTTATAATTTAAACTATTGCCATACAACCCAGGTGTATATTTATTTATTCTGAGCTCCAACTCTTTTGTGTGCTTTCTTAGTTCTTTGTGTTTGAGAAAAGAATCACTACTGCATTCCAGTCAATTAAGGAGATTACATTTCTAATATTTGTAATGAAGAAATAAAATCTCTGTTATACTTTTAGGGCAAGTAAACCCAAATTTCTAAATTTACACTTTAGAAGAAATAATTGCTGAGGGTAGGACAGCAAATGGGGTCTCATGTGTGATGAGGCAATGCTTGTCATGCTGTATCAATAAATTGCTTCCTATTATTCAGATAATTTAAAAATAAGTGTAATTTAGTAAAACAGTGCTTCAAATCCTTTTCATTTTCTTCCCTTTCAAGTGTAATCCTGAGGAAATGTAGTTGAGCACAGGTTTTCTTTATCAGAATGTTCCATGGTACGTGGACATATTTGGTGGGTGGCAAAGCCAATTAGCTTTTGCAATTAATTATATTTGTAGTTCTGTGTTTGCAATAAATTTCAGGAAGAAATCTCTCCTTTGCCATGGATTTACTTTAATACAAATCAATATGCTTTCTGAAATGCTTTTTTGATTCACCCTTTGTTGTGTAATTATAGCTTTTTATTGTAGTTTGTTTCTGTCTATACACAGCATTTGAAATGTAAATAGCTTGTAGTACTTCTGTCTCAACTTTATACCCCACAATACACTCTATATATGTATAATTGCTGTGTTCAAGTATTTGATTTTTTGTATAAATGAGACCCTGCAGTTCAAATAATTGTACTATGCTCTAACTTCTTTAATTCTTTCATATGAAAGGTTTTTTTAAAATTCCAAACATGTAAGTAAATATTTTCTCCTTGTCTCTTTTACCTCTTCAGAATTTATAGAAAATTTCAGTACCTTTTAAATCCTCGTCAAGTTTATAGTCTTTCTGGAAATGGACCAATGCCAGGGTAAGTCTACAGTTAATATTATTACCAGGAACTCATTTAATAAAATACTGTATAATCAAATGAACAGACTGAAGTACATATAGCATGTTTGGAATGTATCAACACTGCAGTTCTCTGAATGGCTGCAGAAATGTATAGGTATTATTTGTTTACGTCTACAAGTAAAGCTATGTCTCATATGTTTTGCTGAAAACCATGTATTATTCTATAAGAACTGTGGGATAAACTTAATTCTATTTGCAGCTTTAACTGCCTTTCCAGCAACCTGGGGGTTACTTGTGTTGCAGATGTCAGCAGCCTCAAAAACTGACCAGCAAGACTTCCATTTCTTTTACATACATAAACACATATGTGCACATGCATGAGTGTCTGTAATGTATTGGTGACTGCACACTTATTAGTTACACTATCTTGGAAATGTAGTGGTTGGAAAATGACTGGCCAGGCTGAATTGTGCTGGCAGTGACTTGTAATATGGACCAAAATGCTCTCTGAACCAGTGGCATTGCAGTCCTTTGCTTAGTGTGCTTCCTCTGTGATTCTTAACTTGCATTCCTGTGAGGATGGGAGAATTACAGCGTATCAAACACCAACCTTTGCCACGTGATATTGTCTCCTTTTTAAATAGTGGGTGCTTTGGTAGAAGAAAATTAGACAGAGAAGCACTAAATATCTGCTCTGTGTGTTATTTTGTATGTAATGGGTGCTATTTACTTTTGTCGCTGATGCATGAAATTTTACATCAGTGAAAAGAGTTGCAGAAGGATATTAGGAGGCATATGTTCACTGATGTTAAGTTTACACTGTTGTTTGAGTACTTTTCTTTTAAATCTTTGTGGTTTTTATTTGTTTAGACCTTTACATTTGTGTAACATTAATGAAAGTGAAAAGCATGTTGGGCTCAATGCTTTTAGAAATTAAGATGTCGTGCCCTGCAGTACAGCTAATGTTAACCTTCTGAATGGTGCAAAACCAGCCCAAAAAATGGAGATGATTTCTTTCATGCATGTGTCTTGTATCTGAATGCTACTGCTATTTTTTTACTCAAATGAAGTTTGTTGATTTTATGCCATTCTTGGCATGTGTGAAAAATGTAAGTACTCTTAGTTCAAAGAATAAGTAGACTAGAAGAATTAACTGAGACAAAACTAGTAACTAATATTGTTTTACATACTGTGTAGTAGAAATTCCATGCTAGAAATTGAGAGGATGATTAAAAAAAAAAAAACCTGGAATACTTTTGTTCATAGTCATCTTATTTCTTCAAAATGAAAAAAAAATCTGGCCGCATTTCTGTCCATAAGTGAGTTAGTTTTCATGAATCTTGCTATGTGAAGGAAAATGCATTTTAAGGCAGAGGCACAAGAGGGCAGTGTTAAGTTCAAGCTGAAACCCTGCACTGAAGCAATTTAAACATTTGTCTTTTGAACCAGGACAGTGTTTTTCAGAAAATGTTTTCAATTTCACTTTCTATTAGAAATCGAAGTAGTTTTAGTTCAGAGTCACTTTGAAGAAAATTCTAATTAATTTTCAAACAGGCACTGCTTGTTTTGGTATAGTTTTAATTCATTTCACTGAAATGAATAATCCTAAATTTCTAGTTTGTCTCCTGCCATCACTTCTTGCCCCTGGCAATACTTTGTAAGCTGCATATAATTTGGCCCTTAAGTGAAAAGTTGAATAAACTCTGGTGTTTCGCTTACCAGTACTTGTTTTCTGTGGGGGCTGAGTTGCATAATAAAACCTGCCCATTCATTCATCTCTGTAATACCAGTTATAGTGGATTGTCAATCCAAATTTTATATTTATTTAATTTTTTCATATTACATGTGAAATTTAGGTCAAAATGGAACAGATTAGTGTACTGTACAGTGCAGAGAAAAACAGAAGTGTATTTGTTCATCCCAGTAAGTTACTTTCAGTAGAAAGAGATAAACATAATGTATATTTATTTTAAAACATTTATGATTACTTTGGTACATTTTAGTTGAGCCTATTTTGAGATGTGTTTTTTTTTCTTTCGATTACTATTTTCAGCCGTGTTTACTCAACATAGAGAATATCTGTAGTATTAGCTAAGAATTTGCATTTTTTTGTTAGAGCCAACATCTCTGCTTTAACCCATAAGTTAATGTTTTTAGTTTTTAATGGTATTTTTCTCATGGGCTGTTGTCATCAAGAAAGAAGTTTTGTAGCTTGTGTTCCAAACATCTGTGGCTGACATGAATTGATATTTCCAGTTAATTTTTGTCAAAAAATCTCTGTAATCCCTTTTCGATGGGCAGAGAGAGGAAAAAAAAAGAACTAGGAGACTAAGAAAATTGCAAATCTTAGGGGGGCTGAAACTGCTGGTTTGGGGTTTTTTTAATGGTCAGCAGCTCAATTAATCTGTGTGTTGTTCTACCTCTTTTCTCTGCATGTTCTTGCTGAGAAATGTGTTGGAGAAAAGGACTTCAAAATAACAACAAAAACACCCCAAACCAAATCACAACCCCCTAAAACTACAAAAAAGCCCCACCTTTCTTAATACCATTTCTTTTATATTTTTCTATAACTATGCTGGCATACAGCAGGACAACAGAAAAATATTTTGAGCAAGATGACAGTGAATTTTAGTGTCACAACCTCAATGTACAATTACTGAAGTGCATGTGTTGCCTACTTGCATAATAGATTGGGTGGTACATGGGGAAGTGCAGGAACAGCAGCAATGACGTTTTGTGCAGCTTGTTTGCCTGCCTGACCTAGGGTTTTTGGAGCAGTTTATGTCAACACATGATGTACATAGTCTGTATAAAAATATGTACATGATGCAAATAAGCCTCATGGCAGCGACTCTTGCACTGATTCCTTTCCAGTAATGGAGATCTGCTGCGAGGCCTGAAAATCAAGAATCTCTAAGCCAAAGGGCAACAGCACACTTTAAACATGGGTATAATAATTAATGGTTTAGACATTCTTTAATTGGCAGTAGAGGGATATGTGAGTGAGCTGGAAAAACCTTGTAAGCTCTGCAGCTGAACACAGGCATAAAAGGTACTCTGCAGTTACAGACTGCCACAGTTAACACAGTGACGAGAAAATTGCTGGGCTGATGCATTGTGTAATTTGTGCCTGGCACCTGTGTTTTTTGCCATGAAAGGAGTTTCCCTGTTTGGTTGTTACATCTCTATAGGAGTCTTCTACTTCTGACAACAACTGTTATTGTGGGTTTAATGATCTTGAAGAATCTGAAATTCAGTTATTGTTCACCTCACAGAGAGGTAAATAATAGCAGGCTGAATAGCAGTCGAGCCACAGAGCTGCAGGACACTGTAGAGAGGTCAGCGTTTCACAAAGTCTTTGTCCCTCTGAAAAGGCCTCTGTTCCCTAAAGTTCTATTATTTAAAATGTTTAATTTATGGTATTTTTATACTCTGTTATAGAAATTATATCCACAAAAGTTGTATTTCTTTGTAACTTACATAAGCATTTAATTTGGAGAGCATCTATTTTTTGAATTCTAGCTGCAAGTTTGCCTCAACAGGCCTTTCTAAATCTTAAATTCTGCCCACTTAAAAGACGCCCAAGACAGCAAAGCTGAATCCCTGCAACTTACACTGTAATTCAATTGGGAATCTACAGCATCTGGGCTTTTTTACCTTCACAAAGCAATAGGTCTGTTTTGAAAATTACACTATTTTCCTTAATTATTTGAATTGATTGCTAGATCATTTCTTTGCTGTTGGACATTTGGAATACCCAGAGTGTTCTAGGAAGGTATACACACCAAGAATATTTTTAGAAGATAATAATTGCATACAAACAAAATATTGGATCTGGTCCATATTTTCCTGGAAGAATTACATTTTTGCCAAAGAATGGCAAAGCCAGCAACGGTGGGTTCGTTGTACTCTAATGATAAAAATTATTTCTGTATACCACAAACCAGTAGTACTTAGAATTCACCAGGTCTTCACATATGAGACTTAAATCCTGAAATTAGAGATATATTTTAAGCAGCTGTTTAACAATATTTTTGCTTCTATGACATCTGTGATGTTGGCACCTGAAACCTATGCTGAGATCCACTAGTGGATTATTCTTTTGGGCTGTAGGTAGTCCTAAAGTTTGCTTTCACTGTGAGAGAAGAATGCTGAATGATTTCATGCATTGCTGTTATGCCACCTTGTGTGGCTGAGTACCTGAAGTTCTGCATAGTGCACTGCTTTTGGGTATAAGAGGAATTGTCATGTACAGGTAACGAAATGGAAAATACTGCAATTTATATTTTCATTATTGTGAGTAAAACTTCAGTTTTGCTCTAATAAACTAAATTAATTAGATTTAAATAAATACTTTAGATTTTTCTCTGAACAGTTCTGTGAGAATGTATATGTGTTTGGTGCCTGTGCATAAATAAATTAACCGCATAATTCAAAATCAAATATTTACATCCTCTACATTGGTATTTTTTTCATAAACAGATCCCCTGCATTCCTATGGACTTGATGAGGTGATTATGAAAAACTGAGTTAGAGTAATATTAGGTAGCTGAAACAGTTGCTCTCTTTCAGGTGGAAATTACTGATTCATCAGCAGAAACTCAGTAACTACCTTTCAATACTTGGTTCTGGCAAGATAAAATAAAATTAGACTGGTGTTGATCACTCTCACAGTTTCAAATTTTTCTAAGAAAATTCTGGTTTTTTAACTTAAGCTGACATTGCGCAAAATCTTTACAATTACTTCAATTTTTTTTAGTTTCGCTTTAAACCGCTTTTATTAAGTTCTTCTCCAGCAGTTTGTTTTTTTTTTTTAATTCTTTTCAACCATGTGAAAAAACGGTAGATAAAAAATAACAGGTGCTATTAAAACACTAATTGAGTGCAATTTTCATGGTAAGCAGTACTGACTTTCTCCATAAAGATCTCTAAAGAAATGTGTCAAATTCTTTCTATACAATTGTAACACTGAGTCTGAATGAAGCCTTATGAAACAGAAAACTGTGTTCCCTTCCCAACTCCTGATGTAGGCTGCACATTCTAATTCAATGAATAAGATTTATTTACATATATAATTATATAACTATATTTAATTTTATAAATTAATTTGATTTTATAAATATTTATATCTGCTATAGTATATTTATATACACTGCATTTATTCATGCAAATATACACTGTACCATGCATTATTTTTATGTATTTTGTATGTTAGATTTTTATATAATATATCTATAATTTTTATATTTAAAATTATAAAACGAAAAGGTTATGTTAATTTAGTGCTATACTTTGCTTTGAAAATTCACTGTCTGTGAATATAAAAAGCCCCAAGGGAAATACAAATGCAGCTTATTGAAAATGTTTTTGACAATATGGTTTCACCAGATTTTTCAGTCCCCCACTTTTTTTAAAGTTACACTTTATTGATGAAGACTAAATATACAGTCAAAACAAAAAGGATCTCTGATATCCATATGGTGAAAAAGCTTGTTTATAAAAAGAGACAGAGGTTTAAGTCTATACTCTCCCAGTCTGGAGCAATGCTAAAATCAACCCTGTGCTTTTGGTGCTGTTTTGGTTGGTTGGTTCTTTCCAGATGTTCTTTTCCATGAGCTAGAAATGCTTAACTACTTAGAAGTCAGTACCCTGCCATCACCTCTGGGCTATAATTTGACTTTACATTAAGCTGGCATACTTTCAGTGTAGGAAGCAATGTGATTACACCTGGTGACTCTCTGCCAGCCCAGCACATTGGCTTGGAGTGAGAACACTGGTGGCAGGAGGTGTTTGTCTCTATGCCAGGCCATGAGAAGGGATGGACATGCACACCTGTGGGCCACGGCACATCTCAATGCCTGCCCTTGCAGTGCTGGGAGGTGACTCCCAGCAGAGGATCTTTCAGCACATACTCTTATTAGTGTTAGATGTGTCCCCCACATGTACCCAGTCAGATTTGGCACACGACCTTTTGGGTCACAGGAGATCCTACAGCACTTCTGCAGATGTGTGTAGTGGAACATAAAAGGGGTGAGAACGGCAAGGCAGCCTTTAATACAGGGCAAGTAAGTATTATATTTGCACTTGAAATTGCTTAAGAGCTCTTCTGAGCAAAGAAAGTTACAGGGTGTGGGACATGTGATGGGCTTAATTCTATGCAACTTGGCTAAAATTGAAATTCTGGTCAAAACCTAATTGAACAAGAAGTTGTCCTGTCTATTATTCTACATATTATGTAACTTTTTTATTCATTGTGTTTTTCATTTCCTTCTCCCATTCTTGATTTTTTACTCTGTAATTTTTCATGTTCTTGATTTTATCAAGAGGTCCAAAAGATTTATAAAACTTCCTAAGGACAGAAACTACATTCTCCCTGCAGCATTACAATTGCAAGCTATTAACTATATTTATTTGTATTCAGGAATTTGTTTAAATATATTAGTTGTGCATTTATTAGGAGATTGCAAACTGGATATCAGTTCTGGTGACTAGAATATAGAATATCCATTAAGATATCTGTAACACTAATGAATACAACATATGTGAATGAACATATACATACATATGTAGTAATACGACAAAATTACTGAAACTTTTTTGTCTATTGACAGTTTATGTGTAAGGACTGATTTCAGCATGTGTCAAAAGCTATCCTGAACTGATGCATTCAAATTAAAATATTGAACCTTAGTGTTGTTTTAAATATCTTCATTTTCCAGCATTATGCAACATTGTTATAGAAGGAAGTGGATGAGGAGGTGGTGGTACTCACTTGATGCATATGGAAGAAGAAATAGCCAGGCAAATATTGCCAAAGATATTTTACTTTTAAACGGTTTTTAGGATGATGGAATGAGGATCTTCAATCTGATGCTTTCTCATTTTGTATTAAACCATGAGGCTAAGTTGTTTTTACCAACCACTGAATGTTCAGCTTAATATGTACCAGTGTTCTACCAGAAGTATGAAGTTTTTATATAGCTTCATAGAAAGAACTTCACAAATAAATGTTATGGCTAAGATATTTAGACAACTTAGACTTTTCTGTTTTGAGAGACTACCTATCCATTTACAGCTAAGTGAACAGAGAATGTTTTTTGACAATAGTTTCATACAAGATTTGAAGTCAAAGATTGGACCAACCATCAAGTCCAAACTTTTTCTAGTGTTAGTGCACCATATTAACCCTTGCATCATTAATTTTGTTTGAAATTTTTCAGATAATACTGGTAATAATTAATAATAATGTTGGATTTTATCTGTCTAAAAATGAATGCATAAGCAGAAGTGATTTTTATTTTAAGTGACCATTTGCTATTTTCTATTACAAAATGTCTTAAGCCATAACATGTTTACATAATGCACAATTATATTGATCATAATTAGGTATCTTCATTTACTCTTTTTAGGTTAAATTTTTTCCGCGATGTTGCTGAGTTCAGAGTACTAGCATGTGGTGGAGATGGAACAGTAGGCTGGATTTTGGATTGCATAGGTAATCTATAGCCTTCACACAGTTTTGCTTGCTTCATGGTTTTCATTTTCATGGTCTTCCTTATGTACCAATGCATGGATACAGCTATTTCAAGCATCAGCTTGTTCATTTAAATTTTTGAAATGTGTTACTTTGGGACATGATTATTTTTAAGGGTACTCAAATTGCAAAAGTTATTTAAAATCTCTAGACAAGTTCAGTGTTTCTGGATTTCCTGAAATCTGAATTAATCTATTTTAATTTCAGTTCAAAGTCTATTCCCCAACTGAATCAAATCTAACTTGCTAATTTTAAGAAAATTTAATTTAGCTCACTTGCTTTTTTTGGTTACCAAATTTTTGTTTATGCTATATTATCGCAAAATGAAGATAATGTATTAAGAGGTACTTCAGTTCTGGAGTTCTTTTGGTCAGTTGCCTGCAAAGTCCTCTGTAAAAATCATAAGGAAGGCCCCCAAGTCTAGTTATTACAGACTTAAAATGCTTAATCTTCTCAAAGATTATTGAGGAGAATGTCTTCCACATCACATGATCATTTATTTGGTGTTAGGCTGCAGAGAAAAATAGTGGGCATGTGTTACAGCATAAATTAGGAAGTGGATCAAGAGAGGTCAAAAGACTCAACTTAAGTGAGGTGTTTAAAAGTGTATGCTTTGTGGTGGACCAGAAAAGTTCACTGAAAAGTAAACTTGATGTCATGAAGGAATGATAGCAAAGGAATATTTCTAATCTTGGTTGGAAAAAAGTCTTTTGCAAATGCAAGCTACTGCAAGTAGCTCTCAAATAGCTTTCAGAGTCATAAATTAATGTACATAAACATCAAGTGCATTGCCTAAACTTGGAAGAAACAAAGTTTCTTTGTCATTAGCTCTAAAAAGTCATGAAGTTATTTTCTCTTTCAGTAACATACTATGTTCTGCAGCTAAGAAATTACTTGGGGAATCCAGGAACCATCTTTTTTCATAGGTGCAGAAAATATATTTTCAATGCTGCCTTTTAGGGGGCAAAAGCACTTTAGCGTATAAAGTGTAAGGGTACACCTGTTTCTAAACTCTTTCTAATTTGGTCTTCCCTGCTCTCATGATATACAAAGAGCTTTAGCTGAGAGCACAGCAAGAAAAAAGAAAGTTACAAAAATAAAAGAAAGAAAAAATAAACAAAAAAAAAATTCTCATCAGTTTGAAACTTTAAATCTTTTCCTTTAATCACTCTATTAAATATTACATTCTCTCAAAGATTTCCATTAAACTGGTTATGTGAATGTTAAATCTTTCTAAAATATTGATAAATATTGATTTCCCTGCTACATCCATTGTATAGATAACTCCTGCTGATTATTGCTGATAATTGTGCATAATTCTATAAAAATTAACTAAATATAACTTTTAAACTAGACATGCTGCTCATTTACATTAAATGGGAAATTTGACAAATTATTTATTTGAAATATATGATCAAACTTTCAGAAAGGCTGTGTTTCTTGACAAGGCATTTCTCATTGAATTTTGAAAAGATCCTTGGGCTTACAATGCTACAAAAATACCAGTAAAGACTTAAAAGATGCTATTAATTCATTCATTTCAAAGGATTGTTTAATAAATACAAAATTGCTACTTATAGGTTTGATCAGAAAGTGCTCCCTTTGGAGGTTTAATTTCTGACGGGCAAACCCATCTAAGGTCTTGTGTTAGTTCCAATGACTTCTTGGTAGTGGTGCTCAGGTGTAGATACAAATCCACGTGAATACACAGTTTCACACAAATTTGGTCAGCCAGGTGAAAAAGTAGAAGGTTCACCTCATTATTCATGCCCTTAACTATTACTCTTCTGTATTCACAGCTGGGAATGACAGAGGTGAGAACTAGAGCAAGAGCACTGTATTCACTCTTGGAAAGATCTTGAGTATCATTGTTCATGAATGTTTGTCATAGCTATGATTTACAAAGTCCTAATGATAACAAAGGAGTCAATTAGTATTACGAAATCCTTATGATAATAAATGAGTAAATTAGGATTAAGGATTAGATATCCAGTGAGAAGGGACTACAAAATGGACTGACTTGTTGAAATGCTCATTGCGGAGCAGGCAGCATAATTTCATATACAAAGCAAGTCCTTCACTGAAACAAAACCTAACACAGTTATAAAATACCATGCAATTAGATAATTTTTGTTCCTTAGTTGTGTTTTTTTCCTTCTTTATTCACAGAGAAAGCGAACTTGATTAAGCATCCTCCTGTTGCTATCCTGCCTCTTGGGACTGGCAATGATTTAGCAAGGTGTCTGAGATGGGGAGGAGGTAAACACAAATCAAAATGCAATTTATTATTGACTTAAAATAAAAGAAAAACTTACATCAACATCTACATTTGGATTTGTTTTCGTAAAGAACCATTATCACCTCTATTTTTGCAATGATCTGTTTGTAATTCTTGTATACAGATGTAAGATATTAAAGGTTGCAATCACACTTCATACCTTATTTGTAGCTTCTGCTGACACCAAAGTTCCAAGGTGTAATGAGAATAGTGTACAGCTGTTTGGTTGGCTTTTACCATCTGTATTGCAGTTATAGCTTTGATCAATACCTTGTAAAGGGAGCAGTCTTAAATGGGATTTAATTGGGACTGTTCTGAAAGGGTTACTGAAAACATCTAGTAATGGGTTAAGAGTCGTTTAATCTTTTTTAATCTTTAAAAATATTAAATTTAAAGCATGTCTTAGCCTCGGACTAGTTTCTTTGACCCACTCCCTTTCTGTTTTCCTGCAGAGGATTCTAGACAATGTGCTGTGGTATTATTTATCAGAAAATGAGAAGGCAAAGAATGCTGAAGGAATAATATTTAGAAAATCTAACCTTTTATACCCTTTGCATCCTTTCCTGGATGTATGGAGACTTTCTCTCAGCTTCTCCAAAAAACTCCGTTCAGAATCTGTATTACACGATAACTTGAAGGAGACACAAGGAAGAAAATCTTAGGCAAGATTCAGTCTGTGGTGAAAGCACTTCACTTTATGGGCTCATAGCCAGGTCTATTTCAGGTCTTGGTTGTTTCAGTTGAGATGTTTTGCGTATGGAACTTGGTTGTTTTATTTGGAACTTCTCAGCCTTTGCAGATATCTTACTTCTTCTGTCTCATCAGTTTCCTTTCCAAATGTCTGCCTTGTTGCCAGATAGTCTTTAGCAAATTCTCAGTAGTTTTCATGCTATAGCACTTTGTTATCCATAATGTTCTGACAAATCATTTGAAAACCTCCTTTATTTTCTCTGTCACAACTATTGATTGTTTACATTCTCATAGTCTTAGGACAAACTCATAGTCTTAGGACAAAAAAAGGAAAACAAATGAGACAAAACCTATTGAAATCAGCCCTTGCTTAACTTTCTGAATTGTTCATAGAGCTATAGAATAACTGAAAGAGGTCATAGGAAGTCACTAGTGCAATCTGCTGTTCTAAGTAAGGTCACTCATGAGAACATTTAATTACATTAGCTGGGACCTGTCCCTACTTTCACTTTTATTTTTGTTCTGTAACTTAAGTGGTTCCATTTGGTCTAAAGTAGAAAAAACAATAGGGAAATAATCTGGGTTTCATCATTCTTTGCCAAGTTGCTTTGTGGTAAACAATACCATAATAGAGATTTTCTGGAACTTCCATAGATGGGAGAGGAGACAGGGATTCCAGAAACTAAATTGCTGGTGAGTGATCTCAAGGATGCAGAGAAACGGAATTGTGCATGCTGCTGTCATGTGGTGGTTAGCAGTAACTAGCAAAAGTGTTCGCGGCAGCCATAAACAAATATGTCAGCAATGGGTTTTGAGCAAGGAGGCTTTGAGTAGCTTGCCTGGCTAAAGCTGTTAGACCAGCAGTACATACTGCTTGAATAGGAAATCTTGTTTTTTTCTGCTTTGAAGAAGGACTGAATCCGCAGATCTTAGCTATCTATTACAAAGTCATTTGTTCTGAATAATACTCAGACTTGATACTGTCACTTAGTAAATCCCCCACAATTTTTCTTCATGCGCACGTGTGTTGTGTATACTCATGAGTGCATAAACAAGTTTTCTACTCAGTTTAGTGAATTACATGTGAGTGCTTATTTGCAACTAAGAGTAAGTTCTCTCTACAAAGCAGGATGAGGCTCATAAAGAAGTTGTTGAAATAAGCAACATTGTTTCTTTTGCTTGTAATGCTATCAGTTATGGATTTGAAATTTTGGATTTGATATGCTAAACCAGGTTGAAACAATCCATGAAAATTAGTAGATAGCTTTTAACCTTTCAGTGTCTTGTCAGGCAAAACAGCAATATGCCTCTTTTGCATAAATTTTGAGATCAAAGGAATTTAAATATTAAGATTAATTTCTCTTCAATAAAATTTTCAGAAGTCCATCCTTGGCTTTATGGATCATTTAGAAAGTTCAAGAGATTCACAAATTTTGAAGATCAAATTGTTTTCTTCATCACAAATTTGATTTCCACTGAAGTCTGTAGAATTATTCTAAATTTACATGCTTAATTGTATTTGTGCTTCTTTTAATGACAAGTGCTGGAAAATTGTCAATACTTCATGCACAATCCTACTTTTAAGGTCTCATATGCATTGCTTTCATTTTTACAGTCATATAATCATAGAATATTTTGGGTTGGAAGGGATCTTTAAAGGTCAGTTAACTAGTCCAGCCCTCCCTGCAATGAGCAGGGGCATCTTCAATTAGATAAGGTTGCTCAGAGTCCTGTTCAGCCATCTAGAAAGAGAAAAAAAATGTAATGAAACTTTATTATGCTTGATTAAATAACTGGTTTTATGTTTTGCTAGGGTATGAAGGTGAGAATTTGATGAAGATCTTAAAAGACATTGAAAATAGCTCAGAGATTTTACTGGACAGGTGGAAATTCGAAGTAATACCCAATGATAAAGATGAGAAAGGAGACCCAGTGCCTTACAACATCATCAATAACTACTTTTCTATTGGCGTGGTAAGACTTATCCTTAAGTGATTTTTGTTTTCTGTTTTGAATAAATATTTGCATCACATGCCTTCAAATGAAGAACTGTTGGCTAGAGATCATTTATAATGTTGTTTTGCTAGTGAAATGAATACATAGGTGACTGACAGCAATTTGCATAAATTTACTTCCTCACATTCAAACCTGAATTATTTTTCAGGACCTTCTACCTTCCTATTTATAAAGAAGATATTTGTGTTGTTATTAATGGTTTATGAGCAGCTATAATACTAAATTTATATTGTCATTTTGGAGGTCCTATAAAAATATAAAGGAAAAACAAATCACTTAAGAACTCTTAAGTAATGTTTTCCATTAGTATTTACATAGTCAAAATTGTTTAAAGGAACTGTTGCATTCTTTATTTCTTCAGGGAAGTTTTAAATACTAAAGCAATAATACAAAAAAGAAAGCCCTGCATGTATCTTCTTGGTTCTGCCTTGTAGGGAAGTGAAGTTCAGTTCAAATTCACAGCTTGAATCAATTAGGAGGAAAAGTGTGTTAAGCAGCTCTTTATGTCTGAAGAACTGCATCTCTGGTTTGTGCTTCTCTGTGGTTTTCTAGGTAATATCTATGCTTCTTAATATTAGCAGAATTTCTTTATTCATATTTGATTTGTGATTTGTTGTTAATTTCTGATACTATTCTGAAATACATTACTTCATACCTCATTTGGCTTTTTCCTGGGTGATTCTTCCTGCCTATATGCAGAAACCTACACTTGATTGAATTACACTCTCTCTTAATTTTTACTGTTTTTCCCAAGCACTGTGAAAACTAATGGCGACCTACAACACATTGCACATTGCCTCATAGATTCTTGCCAAATAATAAGCACAGTCTCTAATCCGACATGAATGGAACTTGCTGTATGAACTTTGTAATGGTATGGCAGAAATTGTGCTTAATAACAAACAATCTAAATGTATATTTAGAAAGGACAGGAAAGTAAAATTGAATAAAATTGTGCTGGACATAGGGCTCTTGATGTTTTAGGACCATAATTCAGGTCGGAAGGGATTGCAGGAAGTCATTAGTTCTAAACAGGGTCAGCTGTGAGAGCAGAGCACATTGCTCAGGACATTATCCATTTAGATTTTAAAAGTCCACAAGGATGGCACAATCTCTTTGGGGAACCCGTTGTGGTGCTTTACTGTCCTTATGATGGAAATGGGTTTTTTTGTTTTTTGGTTTTTTTTTTCCTACATGCTGTTTGAATCTCTCATTTCAACATAAAGTATACGTCTCACATCCTCCTGTCACTGTGAAGAGTCTGGCTTTGTCCTCTTGAGACCTCCTCATAGGTAGTTGCAGTCTGCTATTAGACCTCTCTGGAGCTGCCCTCTTACCTGTTGATCCACCTTATATAGTCAGTCTTTTTTAAAAAATCTCTCCAGCAATCAAGACCATAATACCCCAAGCTAGATATAAGAATGCTGGGGTAGCCAGTGTTCAAAACTTTGCTGAAGCTGAGCATGATATCCCTTGCCCTCTCCTCATCTCCAAATCTAGTTTTATCATAGTACCAATCAGAAAGCAATTTATCCCTTGGAAGGAAAATGATACACTAAGTTGAAAGGAATGCTGGAGACAGTAGCATGTGTATGTGAAAGGTTTAATTACTGTGTTCAAGCCAAACAAGCCCTTTTTTTCCTATGGCAATCTCAAAGCTGTGATATGTACGCAAGTACTATACTATGTCTAAGTAGAGAAAAAAAGGTAAGAAACAGAGATGTATGTGTAACCAGCTGTGAATGAATGTGGGTAACGTTCAACCTGATGGAAACACAAAGCACGGAAGGACCATAAAAAGCAGACGCCAAGCCATGTGTCAGATTCAAAGCAGGAGCTAGAAAACATCTAAGAGCAATGTAGAACAAGATAAAGATTTTTCAATTGCTCACATCCATCATTCTGTCAGGATGGCAAGATACCAGAAGAGAAGTTCCATCTGCTTCCTAATAATACTGGAGTCACTGATATGAGCTAAATATCCAAGAAAAATGTGTATTAAAGTAGTCAAATCATATTTGCTTTAAAAAACAAAGATACCACCACCCCAAGGAAAACCAAACCTCTTCAAGAATATAGTAGGGTCATCTGAAAATGAAAGCTTGCCTTGGAAAGTCACAGGTTTGGGGAGCTGGACAAATATAGTTGGTAATATTAGAGGACAAATGAGAAGGAGTGACGGAGATGGGAAACATCAGGCCAACTGTCCAAGAGTGGAAAGTTCAATTACTGATGTACTTCAGAGAAAATACAAGTTATTTTCCCCATAATCTACCCAACTAACTTTAGTCGTCATATATTCATGCCCTAGGTTGATATTATCCCAGTGATCATCAAAGACAGAGTTCAGTCATGTCAGTATTGTATTGTTATCACAGACTGTGTTCCTGGGCTTGCAGTGCTTTTCTGCAGTTGCTGCAATACTGGAATTTCAGTCTTGTCACTTCATTTAGCCAACTTGCTGTTGTTATAATCAGAGGGAGTGTGTGTGTGTGTAGACAGAGTATTTCATTGGATGTCTTATTTGTCACGGTTAACCTTTTTCTATGGATAAAACAGTTTAAGTTGTGCTGCTTTCTCCAAGCACGCAGCTGCGTACCGTTAATGATGGCTCAACGTGTATATGTGGACAAGTGCTTCAGATAAGCCTGTGTTTGTAACACACCTGGTTTCTTTTCTCCTAGCTATTTTTTTGTATCTGTATCTCAAGCCTGTAAAAAAAAACACCGAAGAGAAAAAACCAAAAAGCCAACACTTCCCTAATCTAATGTTGTCTTAGAACAGGGAAGTATTTTCACAAAATCAGTAATAATTCTTCAGTTCAATGCTTGAAATTACCCCCTCCAAAAAAACCTCAAAACAACACCCAAGCAAACAAAATAATACTCAGACTGAATCGCCATATACTCATGACTCTATGCATTACTCAAAGAAGAAGAGGAAAAAAGTGGATAATGATATCCTAAAAAATAAACCCTATCTTTGCAAACAATTTTTCTGAAGTCTGCTCTCAGGTCCTGCCTAGATTGAGCCATTTCCTTTAGTGATGCAGTCATAGTAAAGCATAAATGTGCATTGTTAATTATTAAATGGATGGGCCTATATTCTATCCACAATACATATACTCAATTCAAGCACACACAAAACAAGATAAACATGGAAGATGGTGAAATAATCATGTGCTGATTGAGACCTCAGCAGCAGCCATGGAAGATGGCCGACAGACAATGAGGCAAACTCTCATATAAAACCACAACAGGAAAACAACTTGAGAACATTATTACCTTGAGAAGGACTTCCATGTGTGCTGTTAGGAAACTCCATAATGGCATGGCCAGGAACTTTACATAGTGGTAAGGTGTGAAGAAAGCGTTCTTTTCAACTTAGGGATAAGTAGTTTAGTTGTCAAGCAATATTATATTGTTGATACTAGTCACTGAAAAGGGAGTGACTGTCAAGGCTGTTTATCTTTTATTGGGAAGTTTGTAAAGAATGTCAAATATGTAGGGAAGCTATATTGCTTATTTTTAGTGCTTCTCAAATGATTGTCTCAAAGTGAGATAAAATAGGTGTTTTGATAATGGAAGAAATGCCTCATTAAATGTTCCATTTTGATTAAACATTAGAAACCTTGGCGTCCACTAAATGCTTTGTTGAAAGGAGCATGTGGAAGGGGGGAGAAGATATCTTACATACTTAGGGGTAGAAATGTGTGAGAGAGCACGATATCTCTCCTTTCTGTGTTTTCTCTTCCCGGTGGGTATTCAAGAAAAATGAAATCATGCAAAATCTATAATGAAGTTCCTTTTAAAAAACACCTCATTACTATTTGATATCTCACAATTAATAATTCTTATTCTTAAAGATAGATTAGTTTTTCAGAGGCTCCTCCTTGATTGGAGCAAATAGCTGTAGGCCAAACCAAAGGCATAGTCATGCTGGGAACCAGCATTTCTGGACTCTGATCTTTTACATTTTCATGTAAACTACTTGAAAATGTTTAAAAAAACAAAACAAAACAATTATTGGATTCAGAGAATGGCTTATCTCAAAAAAGGTAACAATTTTTAAACCAAACAACTCGTCTATTTGCCATTGACTTTCCTGTTAGTTACTAATAGCTCTTCTTATTGTTTTCCATTTTGTGAGTAATAATGCTGAAAGAAATTATGAATAGATGCTAGCATGTGAGTCCTAAAGTAGGTTTTCCAGAAGCAAGCATAATTTTGAATTTACTGTTCTGCCACTGAATTAGCTTAGAGTTTAGACTTTATGGAGCCAAAATTAGGTCAACATGAATCAGTACTGAAGATCTTTAACTGTGAACATTTTCTTTCTGTTTTCTTTTCTTTTTTTTTTACCTTTTAAATAAATAATAAATTTATCTGATGTTAATAGGAGATAAAATGTTATCAATGCTGTTTAACTATCACTTGAACTTTTGTAACTGCATGGGGTGTTGCAGAATGTATGCTGCTAAACCAGTTGCAGTTCTGTAGGTAGACTGCTGGAGCATCATAAACTGAACTTGCAAACATCTGCATTGTCTTTTAGTACAAGTTTGTATATAAATAAATATTACTGAGCTAGATGTTAAGGAAAATTATACTAGATAAATTGTGGCACAGTGCAGCCTTCCCTGTGTTAAAACAGAGAATGCCGTCTAAAATGAAAGCAATTCTCGCTGGTGTTTGGGTAGTATTCAAGGTGTAAGAATAAACCAAATGTTATGGTACTTACTGGCATTTGCAGAAGGCAATTAGAAAGATTATATTAGCAATTGTATCTCCTTGTGTTCAACTTGAAGCGTTCTGTATGAATGACTGATTAGGTAACTCCCTGATATTCATCTCTATTTTCTTCCTCTTGGGCCAGAGTCCATTAGAATTTTGAACTTCTGTTTTTGCCCAATTTATAGGTATGTTACATGTGTAAAGAACATATATATTCTCTCTATT